GTCTGAGGCAGGAGAATTGCCTGAACCCAGGAGGCAGAGGTTGTGGTGAGCAGAGATCGCACCATTGCACTTCAGCCTGGGCAACAAGAGTGCAACTCTGTCTCTCTCTCTCTCTATATTGCATGGAAATATTATTTATCTTGATGGATTTTTTTGGTGCTCCCTCAAATTTTTCACTCTCAGTCTAGTGCCTTGCCCTCCTCACTCCAGTCATGGCCCTACCCTAGAGAAACTGAAACTCCTGGATTTGGGGTAGCACAGTGGGCCAAGGGATTACTCTAAGTTAAAAGAGGAGGGTCTGAGCCTCATTGGATTGGTCCAACACTGACTAAATTCTTCATTTCCTTCTTATTCCTTGATTATTGTCAAGTACGTGGTTGTGTTTTCAATGTTCAGTTGTTTTCATTGTTCCACAATAGTTTGAATTTTACCCAATATTACAATAATTGGTTAAATATAACATTCAGTAGCCATGTATAATTTTCTGAATTTCTCATAGGAATGGAAGTAGGCAGGAACTAGAGAACCCATTTGGAAACTTCACTTTGTTAGGCTGAAGTTTCTTTTGTTGTGACTTCCGTAATCTTGAAGTGTCAGTGGATTTAATATATTTTTTGAAGACTATCAATATCTTTCAGCTCTCCGATGATGTGGTTATTTTTTCAAATTTGTTGGGATGATTTTCCAAAATGATTAAATATTCTTTAACTTTTAATTCTAATGTAATTTTAAGTTTATAGACAGTAACTATTACAAGGAACTCCTGCCAGTATAGCCTGCACACAGTCTCACAAATTGTTTCTATTTTGCTCCATTTGCCATCTCTGTGTGTGTTTGTGTATAAACCTTTATACACAAATACCTAATTTTTTTCTGAACTATTTGTTAGTAAATTGGACACTCATGCATTGATATAATCTCTTATTTAACCCAGTTGGTATTTAAATTTTACCATTTGTCCTGATATCTATTACTAGTATTCTTTTTTTGCCTAATTTAAGCTCCAATTCAAGTCTTAGCCTGTTCAGACTGCTATAAAAAAAAAAAACCATGAATGGAGTAGCTTGTAAACAGACATTTGATTCTAACAGTTCTGGATGCTGGGAAGTCCAAGATCAAGGTGCTGGAAGATTTGGGATTTGCTGTCTGGTGAGGGCCTGCTTCCTGATTCATAGATAGCACCTTCTAGCTGTGTCCCCATGTAGCAGAAGGGTGAGGACCACTTTCTGGGGCCTCTTTTATATGGGGCATTAATCCTGTTCATTAGAGATGTGAGGGGGTTATGGATGGAGAAGCCAGGCATGACCCACAGCTCATAGCCATTAGGAGGAGTGGTCTTTGAAGACCTATGATAGACTGTGCTCATTTACCTTGCCTGGAAGGGTGAACTATTTGGTAGATGATCTTTTATACCTGAACTATAGATCTTCATAAGACACACGTAGGGAAGAGTGGGATGTTGTAACTAATTCTTGGATCTTACTAAATTTCTGGACACAAGCACTCCATGAAGCCTAGAATATGATCAGGAAATCGAAACAGAAGAGGATGACCTTATGTAATTTTCTGCCTTTTTACACTTTCTAATGGTGCTAGAGCAGGGAGTTCTTACTCTTTGTAAAATTGCTCTGAGAGCTCTTTTTCTAGACTCTAGCAAAAAGAGACTTGCCTAGCAGAAAAGCATGCCAGGGTTTTTTTCTGGCTGAGCAGTTTTATATTTCCACACTATCTACACACTAGAATGTAAGTGCCTTGGGAGCAGGGCCCTGAATTATTCTTATTAACATCCGCCATTGTATGTGCTTAGTAATTATTCATTGATTGATTGGTTTTCTGGAACAACCCCAACTGCTTTGGGATATGTAAGATGGGAGATACAATGAGATATTGACTGTGTAAGTATACAGTTTTTCTGTGTTAGCTTAATCTTATAACCCTGGGTGTTTCTGCAGTTTCCCTTGTACAAGCAAAATCACTATAGCAGTTTCAGAGTTCACTTTTCCTCAACAACTTTTTTTTTTTTAATCACATTGTTCATATTTAAAGGCCAGATAGCCTTTAAGAAGGAAGCTTCTGTATATTTAAAAGCCCATGTCAGAGAAAAGTAAAGGGAGGCCTTCCTGGCAACCCTCAAGTGATATTGTAGGTGACTTCTATGCCGCCCGGGAAGTCTGGAAAGGTGGTTTACGTTCTTCATACTCCCTTCGTGGGTCTCACTCTTGGGCCTGATAAAGCCTGAAGCTTGATATATTGTAATTCTTCCAGCCAAGGAAGTGCTTGAAACTCTTCCCTCTCTGTCATGGGGATAGGCGCTGGAGGAACTTGAGGGATATACTGAACAATGGCCTATAAAATCATGCAGCGCTTCCAGCTGGGATGACTGTGTGCATCAGTCGTAGACACCAACAGTTGGACTAGGGAAATCCCCCAACCTAAAATGAATATCTGTTTGAGTTATTAATCCCAGAGATATTTCCTGTCTTTGAGATTTGCTGGTAGGCCATTCTTGCCTTAAGTTAAAGGGTCAGATTTTCCTGTAAGCGCTTGAGCTCCCTTGCTATTTTGGAAAATCATCTCTCCACACACATATGCTTAATCGGGAGCTGGAGCATAGTGAACTTCATTGACTTTGGCCTGTGCCTGAATTAGGATCTCTTCCCTGGCCAAGTGAATGCTCTTGATGAGTTTGCCTCCTTCTATGATCATGTTGTAGGGCTTTTGATTAGACATTGTTGTATGTAATCCACCCTCAAGTTGACAGGCATTCTTCCAAGTAAGGATAAGATCTGGCTCATGGTGACTCTGCTCCTGAGATCTCCCGGGGACAGGCTGGTGCTTTTAGAACTGCCTTGTGCCTTGATCTTAATTTATCTGTTGTATTCAATATCATTGGAAGCCAGGAAAAGGCCAAATACCTGACCTCTGTTCCAGGGCTGTGATATTGCACCCACTCCAAGCTTCCTTTGATCCTTGCTTTGCCCAGCCAAACAGGGAAACTCCTTAGCATTCCTTGGTCTCCAGAGGTCCATCTGACTGTTGATTTGTGATGTTTGGTCTTCCTATTACAGTTTTATTTGATTGCATGTTGGGGAAGAAGAAGGCTTTGACAGCCCACTGGAAAGTAGCTCTTGAGAATCATGCTTCTCCATGTGAAGATTTGTTTCTCCCATGACCACCTGACTGTCATGTGACAATTCTTGAGGGATAGAACCTTGGCTTTATTTGGTCTGGTCTGATTATAAGAACTTAGAAGGGTAGGCAAAGGGCACTATAGATAGCTTACATATTCCCATTAAGTTCACTCCCTCTCCAAGTAAAGACAACTCCCTGACTGTTCATTTCAGACTGTTTATTAAAAGGAACTCAGGTCTGCTGAAACAATGCCTACCTTTGTAGGGGCCAAAAGACTATTCATCCAAAAATGTTGTGTAGTGAAGAGGCCTGTTGAGTTCCTTGAGAGTGGAAACCAATAAACTTAAACAAAAAATTTGGAACAACGCTGTGTATAAACTGTTGGTGCTGGGTTATGAAGACACGGGTTTCAGATAATTCGCATATGTGTAACAAACATATTATGGGCACATGGCCTTCCTCATCTCACTTCCATTCCTGCCCATCTGAAATATTATTGTGTGAGCTGTGAAATAATGACACTTCACTTTAAAATGTGTTTTATAATTGGAACTTTGAAGAAGTCTTTCTTACCTTTCTTTCTAAGTGGAGGGAGGCTCTGAGGGTCCCAAGGACCAGAGTGGGAAGGTGGGAATGAGTAGAACAGTGGAGATCCCCTGTTTCTCTTGGGGATGTAGAGCAGTCCAAATTTGCTAAGATTTTATCTATCTCTTCTTATTTGTATATTATATTTTGTGTTTATACTATATGTTGTATTTTATATTTGGTAGATTGACTAAATCAGGTGTTATAAAGGTTAAAATAAAAAAGAATTTAGAATAAATTAAACTCTAGTGACTCATTTATGAGGGTTAGGTTCAGAGGACAACAAAAAAAATAATCATTAGTCTGAATAACTACCAATGGCCTTAATTAATTTAGTCACAAAAGCAAATCTTAAATACAATATTGTTAGCTGGCCATAGCTTTTTTTTTTTTTTTTTTTTTTTTCTTTTCCCAGAAACTAGTTTTTGGCAACATGGAAAAATGTCAGTATTGAGTTTATATATTTAAAAAACATGAAGCGCCTCTCTTTCCTCAAGCCATCCTTTCCTATTTTTATTCTGTGTTAAGAGGCTTGGTCTAAATATGGGATACACCATTTTTTCAAGTGCTAAAGGTCCTTGGCTGATGACAGTTTTTCCTGGTGGCTTCCTGTGCTTCATTTTCTGAGATAGCAGAATTTCATGTAAAATAAACACTTGATTTCTGTCTCTTGTGGATCCTAGTGTAGTTTTTTTGGCCAAGGAAAAAAGTCAGCGTTCTGAGCCAAAAAGTCACCATTATTCTACTGCTCAAATCTGTTATGGCTAGCCCACTTGGGAGGTTCAGCCATACTTTACGCGGGTGACTAGTCTGGGCATCTGTAGGTGTTTAGGGCTATATTAGGGCAGATTGCCCAAGAGAGGGAGGTATTAGACATCGGGAACTGATGGTTGGCCCAGGATTGTAAAATGCCTTTTAAAAAAAGTGGGTGTAAGACTGCTGATGCTCAGTGAGGACACTGAGTGAGACGCGAACCCACACTTAAAATAATTGAGAATTTAGAGTCTTGGTTTGAATCTGAAGACATGGTTGATTTTAAGGGCAGAAAATTATTTTTTTTCTAAATTTTCATTTCTATATTATTGACCCTTGAAGAACGTGAGGGTTGGGGTGCCAACTCTCTGTGTAGCCAAAAATCTCTATATGACTTTTGATTTTCCCAAAATTTAACTGCTATAGCCTACTGTTGACTGGAAGCCTTATCAATAACATAAACAACTGGTGAACACATATTTTGTGTGTGTGTGTGTGTATTATATACTATATTCTTACAATAAGGTAAGCTAGAGAAAAGAAAATGTTAAGAAAATCACATGGAAGAGAAAATACATGTACTATACATTAAGTGGCAGTGGATCATCAAGGATCTTCATCCTTATTGTCTTCACGTTGAGTAGCTGAAGAGGAGGAGGAAGAGGAGGGTTGGTTTTGCTGTCTCAGGAATGGTGAAGGCAAAAGAAGATCTATGTGTAAGTGGACCTGCAGAGTTCAAACCCTTGGTGTTCAAGGGTCAAGTGTACTTACATCATCTTCCACAGCAGCCCTGCATTCCTGCAAGTTGAAGACACTGATAGAGAGTCACATTCAGATTTTGAATACTGGCAGGAACAGGGCCCTCCCACCCTTGCACAGGGATACCACAGGGAAGGGACATAACTTTGTTGGGGCTATAGCTGTGGAGAAGCAGTAGGGCCCATATGGTCTAGGATACTAACATCAAGTTAGTGACCTTTCGAGTGTGTGGTGCGAATTGGCAGATATGGGAGCAAGCAATTTTGGCCCAGGTTAATGGTGACCTTTAGGTTTTGCCACCTGGTATCAGGAACAATGGGATGTTGCAACCAAGGGCACAAGGCAAAATAGTAAAAGGCACTGTGGTTGTGGCAGATGACCTTTCATGATTGCCAAGGAGAACTCAAGAACCATTTGGACACCTTGCCAACAAAAGAGGAAGGACCAGGGACTGGAACTTCACAGATCTCCCACCTCCCCTGCCCTGGGCTCAGAACCGATTTCTTTGCTTCTAATTATGGGAATTGCATGTTAGCTGCTACCTGTGTATTCCAAAAATTTAGAATGCTGAGCCAATTAGGGGAAATGTCTTTACATTAGGAGGGAAACTCCTTTCTCATGATTTTGCTATCCTTGTGACAGTTGGAGTTTGAACATTTCTAATCGTTGATACACGTTTTTTCTCGTGTCAGGGAAATTTATTTCAAGCCAGGTATTTTATGACATTAAGGATGTAGTCATCGTTTGTAGTTCGTTTTCTGGAGTATCCTGTTCTTTTTATAGATAGCTACGTGGCATCTGAATTGTGTAATGATTCTATCTGTTCTTAAAACTTTAAATTTGTTGTAGTATGAAAATTGTTCTTGTGCATTGCTCTTTGGGGGGCAGAAAATGCCAGTGTCTTTTCAGAGTGAACAGTGGCGTGTTGGACTTTTTTCTTTTATCATCACTGCCCCATTTGGTAAGGAACACAGATCATGTGCTGATATTTGGACTGACTCACCTGATCCTCCAGTGAGAAATGTGATGCATATTGTGCTTTCATGCTGGCAAGCTTGAGAACTGAAGCTGTTTTTTTTTTCTTCCTCGTTTGTGATGGTCTTTGGAATATAGCTGACATTGTGAGTTAAGCTTTCCTATTGGAGAACAGTAAAGACCTATACTTACAAGGTATGAATATCAGATGTTCATTTGAGAAACAGAATAGCAAAAACAAAACCACGTGAGAGGTCAGGCACCTCATCCAGCACCACTGCAACAGCTTCTCTGGGGAGGCCTCAGCCTGGCCCTGTACTTGGAGGTTGCACTCAGGGAAAGTGCTTATATATTTTCTTCATCTGCTTTTGGGAGATACTTTAATGGTCTAACATGGCTCTTGTCCTCATCTAAACTATGTTTAAGGCCAAAGATGAGACCACATCATGTGGCCTCTCCCCAAGGATGCATGAAAAAAGAGCTCCTCTTTACGTCAGTGAGTCTTGGCTCAGCATGAGCTGGCTTCATCTTGGGTCCTGCATCCTCAATCCTGTCTTTGTCCCCTCTCGGTGGAGCACAAGTCAGACAAGAGCCTGCCCCGATGAAGCCAGAGGCCTCAAAGCAGCAGAGAAATCTCTCCTTCGCAAGTCACATATGCCTAGACCCTGAGAGTATATGACTATTACCATGAAGAGAGGCGCCTTCTGCCCCTGAAGAGCAGTCTTTTATAATTTCTTCCTTCACCCTCCCTATTTGCTTCTCTAGGTGTGTCATGTAGCCAGAATTTAATCAAGTTAAAAGTAACGTATTTTTTGTGTGTCCATGCTAGGAGCTTGTTGTTTCATGCCAGACAGTAGGAGATAGGTTATTTTAAATGCAAATATGTCTTGAGGACCACAGAAGGGAAATAAGTACTGTCTTGGAGAATCTGGATTGGGTGATGGCTACAACTATGGAGCATATAAAAGAAGTTTAAGACTATTCTTGCTTTAAGGCTGTTTTGAGATTTTTGTGAAACTCACTGAGAGATCCAGAGACAACCTGAATAGTGGATCCTGAGTTCAGAGTGTCTGTGTTTCCCTCCCATGTGTTCCCAGTTCTTGGGGTCCTGGCAATCTGGACCACCTTGACCATTGAACCAGTGCTGACAGAAAGGCAGGAAAAGCAGCAGCTGCTTCTCTTATCCTCAGACTCAAGGGCCTCACGGCTAGGTCCCTGCAAAGGACATTGGCTTTCGTGAGTGACTTGATCACACACTGATGTTTCAAGGCTGGGTGCTTCCCAACTGGAGCCCTGAAAATGCTTGTGTGACATCCCTGGAGAAGGCAACAAACCTGAAAGAAACTCCCACGAAGTAAATCACCAGGACCGGATGGTTTTCATCCAAGAGTTGGGGAGGAAATGAAGTGTGAAATAGCACAGATACTGATGAAGACATTAGTTCTCCATTAAAACCACAACTGTGTCAGAGCAGAGGAAGTTTGCTAACATGATGACCTTATTTCTAGAGAGGAGAGATTAGTGGCCTCTCAGAAGCCTCTTGAAAATCTGGGCCACTTGGAAAGAATAACATAAAATCCGAACAATAACACAATAAACTTTATTTCCTGAAAGCAGGTAAGAAGGATATTTTGACAATTTATGCAAAGCAGCATTCCAGTGGAGATCTTAGAAATAATATGAAAATGAATATATAACACATATATTGCTACTCCCTACTCTTGTGTCCATGAAAGACATGACTAATCAATCTGGTAGGTACTCTTTCCTTTGAGTTTGGATTGGGCCTCATGCTTCTGAATTTCAGGCTCTCAAATGCCACATTCAAATGGCTAGAGTTGACATGCGTGTTGAAACTCATTTGCTCTCCCTTCCTAAGAGGCTGTATTTTTTTCTGGTTCACACCACACTGACTCATAATTAAATTGTAGATAATGACAAGAAGGAGGTCTTTCACAGGTAGTTTAGAGTGTGACAAGAAACATGTTACATTCTTTCTCCTAAGGACTGCGTTAGCAGAACATTTACCTTTAAATAATAATATTTATCTTGTACGAACTGAATTCAGATGTGTAATCACAACTCAAACCATGGTAGAGTCTTTCTGGAAGGAAGAGAAGTCACTTCCTCTGAGGCAATAAGCAGCATGTTTCAGAAGATCGTTTTGAGAAATGGGGATCAAGAGCAAGATCTTTCAATAGGTGTTTCCTTGTGGAGTTGAAAAAAGGTTGTCAACATTGAGTCCTGCCATAACAGTGACTCTGTGGGGTAAAGGCGAAGTGAGGTATGCTTTGAGAGAAGAGCTGCACTGAGGCCCAGAGGGGAAAAGAGACAAGCAGGTTGGGCCCTAGAGAAGTTGAGCAACTTCATGTAAAACCCGATGTTTCTTTGGGCCTAGCTTTTGTTTTAGGAGGGAGCAGAAGGCCAGCTCTGCTGCTGGTCTGAGAATCCCTGGGCAGTCCCTAGAACAATTTTCCATTGGGTTGAGAAAAGCCTTCTTGTGCTAATAATAATTAGAGCAATTTGGTTATACTAATTATCCTGCAGCCTAGTGGTCTCTAAGTAAGAGGATATGTGATAGAGCCAATCTCTTGGTGTAGACTGTAAGCTGGACTTTTAAAGATGTTACCTGGCTGCCCATTATAAAAATGAGCTATTTTGCTTGATCAGTGAAAAGTGGCCACATATGTTTCTTAACAGAGAATCAGAATGTAGGAAAAGCCACTTAGCATGATAGAGACCCTGACTGTACTGTGATCCTTCATTGAGTCACCACTCTGGAGATGGCCAGATGCTGTGCTTCAGAAACCAAAGGAACAAATAGGGTCCATTGGTCAGCACACTGGGCAGCACACTTGGCTGACAGACCCTCCAGCACATAACTCTTGACCTTGCTCACGTCTTGCAGATTCACAGATCATGGAAAGAGATGCTGGGATGGTCATTTTGTCTAGATCTTTGTCTCACAGGAGCAAGCAGCTAACATCTCCATTTTAAAGATGAGGCAATCGTTGCTCAGCAAGAGTGAATGAAGTGCTGCTGCTGGGGGAGGCATGAATGAGATTGAGGAGGTAATCCAGGCTCTCGGCAAACAGCTCTTCTCACTTCCCCACTTTGCTTCCCCAAGTCTCAGTTTCCTCATCTCTAGTGGGTACTGCATGGATTTAGCAAGTATGGATTAAGCATGGTATTGGGAGCACATTGAGAAATCTCTGAGGGCTAAAGAATTAAATGTAGTGCTGATAACTTAGATTCATGAGACACTTTATAATTTACAAAATGCTGTCATCTGCATCATTTTGCTGCTTTGCTGGTGCCTCATTGAGTTGGGTAAGCAGTAGGATTTCTTCTCCACTTTTCACAAATGTGTCAACTGAGGTGCCACAGGGTTGAATGGTTCCTCAAGGTCACATCTCTAGGTAGAGTCGGAATCAGGACTCACCCTCCTGCTTCCTGATTCCAAACCAGGAATAACATGCCTACCTTCTGATTCTGAATCCAGGGTTCCTTTCACCATAAAATGACAAATCATGCCGAGTTGACTGTATTTATTATTCACTGTAATGACAACAGAGAGTCTGCAGTGTCACAGTGTGGTAAAAATAGATGTTTAGCTGTGAGGGCAAGGAGGTTCTTGGTAGCAAACAATCTGAGCTCACCAAAATGTTCTTCTCATGGGCAGGCTCGGTTGCCATAGCCTTTGGGAAAGCCTTGGCAGGCCTACCGGGGGCAGCCTCACTGACTCACTGTGTCCAGCTTTCCCTGGGGAGCTGCCTCTCAGCCCCAGTGCCAGACACAGACATTGCCTTAGAGGTCATGAGGTAGAGGGATTTCTTCTGAGATCCGGGGACCACTGCCTAAGAGCACATCTCCGGTAAGGGGACTGGGTTGCATGTCCCACAACAGCAGACTTGCGGTGCAAACTTTTGGCATACGTAAGGAGAAAGACCCCGGTGAGCTTGGGGTTCCTGTGCCACTAATATTTTCCTGGGAGACAGGGGAAAAGAGAGCCAGAGTAAAAGCAGCAAGGCCAAAGGAAAAACCACGTTTTCATTCACTCAAAAGTAATTTATCATTCATCTACTTTCCCCAAGTAAGTAGATGAATATGGATTGTAACTTACTCCACTTATATATACGTGTATGTGTAGTTAAAATAAAGATCAATGGAAGATAAAGAATCATAAAGAGAAAGTGAGATGGTCTCAGGTGGCCATTTTAAGATTCACTGCTACATGGAGAAACACAACCCCTCATTCTTCATAAAAAAGATAAAAATATATTTTTGTTGAGATGTACCATTAGTATTCTGTGTCATATTCTTTTGAATATTTCTTTCATTGTAAGTATCTGGCTGAGGGAAAACGCATTTTGTTACAGCAGAAGAGAGCTTGGAAAGATGGATGTTTATTACACTTGAAGAAAACCTATCAGACCAGTGTGGTCCTTAAGACCTTTTAAAGTCATAGGTTCCTTTGAGAATCTCATAAATCCCATGCCGCCTCTCCCCAGAAAAACACAAGCTTTCGCAAATTTATCTTATCATTTTGAGTGACTCGTAAGCCTCCAAAGCCTATCCACTGACTTTAGTAACTTCTTCATTTAAATAATTAGAAATCAATATTTTGTATAATAAATTTTTTCTTTATAAAAAAATTCATCTCAAACCATGACTGTAGTTAAATGTACATGTATAGCAAGAGTCATATAAAATATTCTGATATCTATGACATTTCCTAGCCTATAGCATTTGCATTTTAAACATGTATTCATTGCACATTCACTTATAGTTTTACTCGCCTTACTTTTTTAAAGATGCTATATATTGTATACTTTATTGTAATTTGCATTTGATAACATTTGTGTAGTACTTGGTATATAAAGGAAAATCTGCCTTCACTCTTAAATCAATGTTGATTAAGTGTAGAATATGGTATATAAAGTAATACTTTAATATATACAACACTCATACGCCATCAATAAGATCTTATCCTCCAGACTTGTGAATTCTTGGAAAAAATTACTTCCACATGTTCCTAAAAGTACTTAAAGATTTTTGACTGGTTGGTGGTCCATTGACTCGAGTATCTGACCTGTCAAAATGCCATCTTTAAACTCCAGTGATGCATAGAGGCCAGGGTTGAATTTATTACAGAACAAAGAGAGGTGATGATTAACACACCCATCTGAACAGTAGGGGGGGAAAATAATCCTTGAATGGATTAGATGCCATGATCCTAAAACCGCATTCTCTGAGAGTGTTGGGTTCTTGCCCAGGAATGGGAGAGGCCAAATGCTGATGCTTTTTAAATGGCAGGGTTTCTCCATGGAACTCTGGTTAGGGACAGTGGGGGTAAAGAGTTTGGGGTCAATTGAGAAAAGCCTTTCTTTCTTCTGTGACCTATCAGATGGAGGGCCTAGACCTGCTCTGTGTGCAGTAACCCTTAAGACTTACAGCTCACCTGACTAGTGTTATATAATTATCAGTCTGCCTGTCTGGGTGGAGAGTAATATTAATATGTAAATAAATGGACTTAATTTTTAACCACTAACCAGAACTAACTTATAATTTTGGGGGGACTCTGGTATGCTGCTTTCAAGACCGGTATAAATGCTGCCAAGAAGATGAAGTGAATTCCTATATACACTGTTCCACTGAGTTGTGACATAGATAGGCTCTCTCTCTTCACTGGCAATATCTGCTAGGTTCTGAACACTCTCAGGATATGTTTTCAGGGAAATTTATATTTGTAAGAAGACTGCATGAACAGAGTACTAAACTCATTTGCTGACTGACTTTCCTATTCTCCTGTCTTTCCCCTGACATGTATTGCAAGCTTTATAAAAAGTATGGATTTTTAGACAGCAGTGTGTAATAGCATTGATGGCGATTGACTCAAAAGAGGCCTGTAACAGAAGGACACCATCCTAAGAAGGAAACGGACCAGCAGAGGAAAGTCATTTTGACCCCCCCATTCCCTGGGAGGAGGAGTGCTTGAATCGCGAGCCCAGGTGCTCAGGAAATCTCCTGTCACTCTGAGATGGGTTGGAACATGGTGCCACGTCCAAGCTTCTAAATACAGTTCAGGCTGGGTCATCATGACAGATGCTGAACTGGCACCACTGTGGGAATTGAAGTGGGAACTCTGACAGTGCTTAAATGCCATGGCCCCTGGGCTCAAAGTCTTCCTAGGCAGGGACAGGGCGAGGCAGAGCAGAGTCTTGTGGGGAGGAGGGTAGGAGCAACATTGGCAAGGAAATCCTGCTGTCTCGTGACACTACCACTCCTTCAGAAGGCAACAGACACTCAGTAACACACCAGCTATGTTGGAAGCTGTCAGTTTCTGAATTGCTGACACACTTGAAGGACACTGTCTCTTCAAGGGTCATTCTGACCCTTTAAGGTAGGTAGGCCTGGGGAAAATCAGAGGCTTGTTGTAGCCAAGGTGTTGGCCGTGGAATGAGTGGGATTAAGTGATGTGGTCAGAATGACTCAAGGAGTCGGGAATGGAGTTAAGAATAACATGTTCACTTTTGGATTCCCAAATCAGCCTTCTACACAGATGACAGTGTAAGGCAATTCCTTGCCTCACCCCACCCTCCTTTTCTTGGCCATCATAGAAAATTCACCCTGGGGTTAGCATCCTTTGATAACTCATTCCCTTTCGGGAAGAGCTGTAGAGGAAAAAGAAAGGAGAGACTTGGGAGGATGGCTTTTCCTGAAGGGTCTGGGGACTTGGGATGTGAGAATAGGATTCTAAGTTTTGCAATCATCTTAATCTGGGTTTGGTGAATTGTAAATATAAAGGCGCTCAATGATTTCACTCTCAATAATTTTCCTGTGCCCCAAGAGTGAACTCTTTTCTGCCATTAAAGCATTTGATTTTAGGGTTTCTGAAGGTGGTGTGAGATGGTGGATGAGGCTAAGTTTTGGAATGGGAAAGACTTGGGTCCCGTTCTTCTCTCTAATACGTTCTTCTCTCTAATACGGGAGCATGTCCAGTGAGTGGCACTGGACATGCTCCCGTGTCTAAGTCTCAAAATAGGGTTAAAATGCCTTTCAGGCCTCCTGCTGATGCTTCCTGGGAGTCTCACCTTGGTACTAGATTTTTTCCACCTCCCCAGTGCATTTTTCTTGTCCTGAGCCAGGTGGGTGTTTCTGACAAGGCTGTCCATCAGCAGTTAGGGCTTCCTGCAGCTTCCCAGCTCTGCCCCGTCCTCTCCACCTCTCATGGAACAGTGCCTTTGGCAGCTTCTTCGGCCTGGATTGCTCTCTCTGCTTCCCTGTTCAAGGTGAGAGCTTGCTCTGTGGCCCATTTTCCCTACTGAAAACCCAGTATACCTCTCTCCTTAGTGGTCTACCTTTTCTCTCTTCTTTTAGATCTTATCACTTTCTTTCTCAGATAGTGTGCCAGCCATTGTGGACCAGGAGAGCATCACTCAAGCAGACCTGCATGAAAACAGGCTTTCTTACATGGCATTTTCATTGCTTCTTCTGCCTTTCCCTCTTTCTGCCTGTTCACCATTTCTCCTAGAGCATTCAATTTTGATGGCTTTGCTCTAGGCCCTGAAATATTTTCATCATGTGAGCTTTTCCTACTCTACATTTTACATTTTCCTTACTGAGAGTTTCATTTCTTCATTTGAAAGCCTTCTTTCTGCCTCTCAGATATGGACAGGGAATTGACTGGGAAAAGACCTAACCTTTATGGCTATCCCCTGTTCCAAATCATGGGAAGAACTATATTAAGTATATTCCCACTTTGTGCCAAGAGCTTCACTGTGACACATGGTATCCACTATCTCCATTTTAGAGGAAGAAATTGGCTCAGAAGGGTAAAGCAGCTTGCCCAGTCATACATCTGGATCTGTGGAATTCTAAAGAATGTTTGTGATATTTTCCCTTAATTCTCAGCAGCTCTGGAAACTGCACTTCCGTGTAGACAGCAGTGAACGTGGAGGTATAGGGGAACTGGTGAGCACAGCAGTCATTCTGTTCCTGAAGGAGGAGAGCATCTCTGCCTCACTATCTCTCCCTTAGCATTACTAGCTCTAGCATTTGTAGAAGAACTTGATTCTTTCCCCATTTTATCCTCATGACTGTAAGCACCTTCCCTTCTTAGGTTAATGTGCAGGAGAGTTAGTATCTGAGTATCTTCTAGGTGTTTGACGGCTACTCACAGAAGTGACTGAACTGTTTGAACTCAGTTGAAACCTCTGAAAGATTTTGGGTCAGACCTTGCCAATCAGTTTGACACTGCTCACAGTCATGCAAGGAAAAGCTGGTAGGATTCCAATAGTTCAGGTTATGATGTCAGGAGGTGACCCTGGGATTTAATAGGGATTTCATTGGGAACATGTCATGCAATTAAGACACCTCATTACTAGGGATATATTTGTCTCCTGGAAGAAGATGAGAAGAATAGCATTCAAGATTCTGCATTTGGCTCCAGCCTACCCGCCCAGCTCTTCTCTGACTATGTCTTCTTCTCTTACTTTGCTAAACATACAGCATTTCATTCATTAATTCATTCAACAAAAAAATTTTATTGAGTGCATGATAGGTGCCAGACACTTATCCAGGTGCTGAGGATACAAGAGGAATAACACAGATGTAGTCTGGATTACATAGATTGCTGCTCTCTAAATACGTTTGGTAGATTTTATTGCCATGCCTCTACCATGAAATTCTCTTTTCCTGGAAGATCCTTCTCCTTATTCCCCATTTCTGCAGTTGCATCTTACAGACGTATCTTAATTAGGCCCAGAAAAGATCCCTTGGCTAGGAGAGATTTTCTCTCCTGTCTAAACTCCCATAGAATCCTGTTGCTAATTTTTCTAAGAAAAATTAGCATTCATATGTCTAGATCTTTTTTGTTCATAAAGTATTAATGCAAATCCACATATATGTGCACCTTGTTAATAGTTCATAAAAGTTTCACATAGTAGATAAGAATAATATCCTCATTTTACAAATGATAAAACTAACACTTAAGAAGTTAGGCATCTTACTTAAGGTTAGATGGTTGGAAAGAGGAGAGATTTGGATCCTAAGGCCAGTATGCTGTGTGCTGTGGTGGATTTTGACTATTATATTTTCGTTAGACTTATTTATGGACTTATCCTCTCTTCCTAAATGATCGTATAAGTTCCTGAGGACATGGATCATCTCTTATTCAGTTTTGTGCCCCTAATCACACCTAGCACACAGCCAGGCCCTGGCTAGAAAATGAATATTATTTGCTGAACAAATGAATGATTGATTGAATGGATGAATTTAGATTACTGGAGAGGTTGTTACATTGTTGTCAGCCATGTTATATTTACTGAACAGGGTGGTTTTCTATATTTGCCTGGTGAGTCGGGTAGATTTTAAACTTGGTGTAGTTGGTGGTCTCCTGGGATCATTTGAAGGGCATTCCTGGCTGTGCTCAAATGTCTATCCTATTTACATCTTTGAAACTGCCACCTCCAGGAGCACTCTCTCCAGAAGTTAAAATTAAATTACACTTGTTTAGAAATTGGCTGCTTTGTTCTTCCCGTTTAGGAAGAATAGCATGAATTTAGTTATGTATTGGTGCTCTGTGGGAACATTCTAACAAGGTATAAAGCAAATGCTTGTAGGGCCTTTGGAGAAAGGTCCACTTTTAGTATCACAGAATTAAAAGGCCACGATGGCAGATACATAATGGTGCTATGACAGTGGCGGGTGATGGAAGTGGTGGTGGGAGGTTGGAAGTAGTGGTTGCAAAGAGCAAACTGCCTTGGGGATGAGTTAATATATTGCTTCACCCAGGAAAAATGCCAAGAGCCTAAGGAAGGGGCCTGTGTTGACCGCTGCTCACCTGAAATTGGTAAATCTTGAAGACCACTCAGTTACCAGAAAGAAATTTTGAAGGACCTCTGGTGCAAGAGGTACTTAGGTTGAACATTTCCATGTGGCTTGTGGCTAATTTTGGATTATTCCATTTATGCACTGTCTGTGTGTTCATCAGGAATATTTTCTAAACCAAAAATTGGTCTCATAAATATTAATTTTGTGGGAAGAATAAGATAAAATATTTGAAATTAGGACTGTTTTAGAAAATTCCAGACCCGTATTTGTTCTTTATTTTTTTTTTTTCTTTGTCTTTCTGATATGCTTGGTCATTGGCATAGAATCTTATATGTTAATTTGATACTTTACTGTTTGTGAAGTGCTTTCATACACATTATTATCAGATGAATTCTCTTCAAGCATAGATACCCACTTAGGACCATCGGAAACTTTTGAGTCCTGCACTCTGACCTGAGTTAAGCCTAAATAAACCAAATTCTGCACAAGTAGGACCTGCTTCAGCTGCCTTGCCCTGTCTTTCAATGCTTCCATTAAACATTTCTCAAAGCCCAAACATCTTCCAAGTACCTTCTAATGGTTTGCTTATTGGTCTAGGCTAAAGCAAAAGGGTGATTTGACATTGAAAGTGATCTTCAGTGTCTGTCATATTCGGATTTTTTTCCTAGGTTGGACTGGGGATAGGAAGTGAAATACAGCAAAAGAGGACTTTTGTACTTGTACTTATTTACTAAATAATGTTAAGTTGATGAAGAGACCTAAAATATCCCTGAATATAACTGCGCTGGTACTGAGAGAGGAAAATTTCCATCAGAGCTTTGTTTGAATTTTCCTTTCTGAAAACACTGACAGTTTTGATTTCCATGGCACTACCTTCTAACTGAGCAGCCTGAGCATTCGCTTTGCATTTCTGAGCTCAGAGTAGGACCAGCACAGCTCTGAAGTCCTAGTTCTGAAAAGTGGGCATGAGAATATAGCGAAAAGAACATCAACTTTAGTGTCAGATTAATTCAATTACCACTTTGACACCTCCCATCTATATACTGTGAGAGAAGCCTTTTATTCATGCCATGCCTCCATTTTCTTATACATAAAATGGCAGCAGTGGTGCCTACTTTAAAGGTTTCTGTGAAAACTGCATGAGATGATAATGTATATAAAGTGCCTAATATAGTACTTGCTTGCTACTTCTCTTCCTTTTATTTCATTTCCAGCTTCAAAACATGCTGGAGCACTGGAGGTTGAAACTTTTGCATATTGTTCTAGGCTAAAGCAAATTTTTTTTTGTAATTTCATCTTTTATTTGAAATTTCAACTTCAAAGTATTTTAACTTTTATTTTAGATCTAGGGAGTAGCTGTGAAAGTTTGTTACATGAGAATATTGCGTGATGCTGAAGTTTAGGGTGCAAATCCTATCACTCGGGTTGTGAGCCCAGTCCCCTGTAGGTATTTTTCCAACCCATGCCCCACTCTTCCACTGTCTAGTAGTCTTCAGTGTCTCTTGTTCCCATATCTATGTCCATGTGTGCTAAATGTTTAGCTCTCACTCATAAAATAACATGAGATAC